AACAGTAGGTCAGGAAATAGCAACAGCTTAGTGATCTCAACTGGCCAAGACCAAGGAGGAGAGTAGCGTCGATGCGTACTGCGCCTTATTCGTTTCTTTATGTAGTCCAGGTCCTCCCCAGCCTTCTCGAAGTCATCGAAAGTAGGAAGGGAAAGACGTGGTCCGTACGCTGGGAGGTGCTCGAGGGGGGTCACAAGAAGTTCCTGGATGGCCTCAGGAAACAAGTACTTGCTCATGTGAGCTTCCTGCGCCGATAGGCCCCCGTCAACAGCTGGCATTCCCATGGCACGCTTGAAGTCCTCAGCACTCGGACGACTCGTGGGGAGGGCGAGGTAGCATCTCTTACGTGGTCCCATGTTCGTGCCTGCTAACAGCCTAGTAAGGTACCCGACTCGTGCCTGGTCTCGTACCTCCCACGCCTCCCGAATCTCCTGCTCGAGCGACTCCCTCCTCCACCTCTCCTGCCACCGACGATGCGCTCGAAGTTGATGGTCGATACGACGAAGCGACTCGCTCGAGACGGGGATGCCGTGGTCGCGCATCGCAGCTCGCTGTCGTAGTAGCCTCCTCCTCTCCTCCTTTGCCTCGGTGATCCACTCGGGGGTGGACTTCTCAGCCGAGAACGTCGCAACAGCAGCCTGCCGAATGATCTGTGCCACGACCCCCGCGTGCCTTGTGGGCTCCCCGTCCATAGTAAGTGCACGGCATAGGGGGCGGTGCTGGTTCCAAGACTCACAGATCTTGCTCATGAACTCCTCCCTCCTGTGACCCTTCTGCAAAGACGCTGCTAATGCTCCCCAATCCCATGTACATCCCTGCTGCTGCGTGCGTGGTGACGGAGAGGGAACACGAAACTGCAGGTACATAGGGACATGATCGATCATGTGGGTAAGTGCTTGTAAACGTCTCTGTGTATGCCAATACATAGTCATACGGATATCAGTATGCAGAAGCTCCTTGGGTCCAAGAAAATAATCAATACGACTCCTAGATCCTTCGTGGCCAAAGTAACTGGGTCCGAGGTCATGATGTGTGTTGAGGAAGGCTAACTGGCTGGCACTGTACTGCTTGCGAACAAACGTGGACATCTCATCTTCCTGACCCGCCTGGTAGGGACCCATAACTCCGTCATCAATCAAATCTTTACCCTTCAGGCCCATACGTAAATTAAGGTCAGCATATATTATTGGAATAACTCTCGCGGGGGTACTGTCGACCTGCTCTTTGATCCACTGCGTGAGTTGCTTCACGGTAGTCCTCCAGTGTGGTAGCCTTCTGGCCGTACTAACCCGTGGCGGATAATAACCAACCACGAGTCGAAATCGTTGAGGGCCACGCTGGATGTCCACGCTACCTGCTCGTCCCTGCAGGTGAGGGGGGGGTGCAGCAATGCGGATAATGTGACGAGCCTGGTATTGTCTAGCCGATATACCAATAGTGACGCCCGCCGATGCATTGGTAGAAGAGCCCCTCCCCCAGCCCCAGTGTATCCAGTGGTGTTCAGGGGTGCGCTCATAGTGATGGGCTTGGTGTACACGCATGGGCATCTTGGTGCCCGCCAACAGGACCGCCGTGCAACGTGCGCATTCCATACCAATATGTTCCAACCGTCCAGTGCGCATAATAGTGTACGGATTCCATCCTACGAACGATGCTCTCGAAAGCCACGCTGACGACCCCGTAAACCTTCCCTCTGGGCTGCTGCTGCTGCTGCTGCTGCTCCCTCCTCCTCCTGCCCCGCTGGCGGCCGCTGCCCCGCCGCCCTGGCGGAGCGCGGCGCCGCCGCCGGCAGCGCGGCGGGCTTGTTCCCCCTCGCGGCCTGGCGGCGCGCAGAGGGGGGAGGCCATGCGAGGCAAAGGCCGCAGGGATCCGCGGGCCTGAGCCGTCCGTGGCCTTAGAGGAGGAGGAGGAGGAGGAGGAGGAGGAGGAGGAGGAGGAGGAGGAGGAGGAGGAGGAGGAGGAGGAGGAGGAGGAGGAGGAGGAGGAGGAGAGGAGCAGAAACGAGGAGGTGGAGGGCCGCGAGGAGGTGGAGGGCCACGATGGGAGGAGGTGGGCAAGCAGGCGCCGAGGCGGAGGGAGCACGCGGGGAGCGCGAGGGGGGGGCAAGCGGGGAGGGTGCAGCGGCAGCCTGCGGCAGGCCAACTCTCCGCCGGTGCGCCGCCGCGCCGGGCCCCGGCTCGGCACCGCGGGGCCCTCCGCGCCGCCGTCGGCGAGCCCCCCGCGCGGCATCCGGTTCTGATGCTCTGAGCGGCCGTTGGCGCGGGGCCAGCCGCCGCGAATGGCTCGCGGGCGCGCACGAGCTGCCAGGCCAGGGAGCGTTGCGGTCGGGAGCTTCCCCTCGGCGTGTGGCTCCGCGGGTTCCTGGCCCGCCGCGCCGACCACCTCCTGGCCCCCGAGCGTCGGCGTCTCGAGGTCTGTCGCGGCCTCCCGCCCCGCGGAGCGGAGCGACACGCCACCCGCTCGCAGGGCACAGCGAGTCTCCAGGGCCGCCGATGCGACACGAAGCAAAAGTTCCTGACCGTATCTCAACCTCGAGCCGGCGGGTGGGTGGAGGCGGCCCGGCAGCCGTTGCGGCCCGCAGGGAGGCCCCCTCGTCGCAGCGGCTGGGGGCGGCTCGAAAGCTGCTGGGACCGATGCTGATCGGATTTGCCCTTGTCCCCTTCTCCTCTTGGCCGGTTTTCTCTGGACCCATCCAACGCAGCCCCCCGGCCGCTTCCAGGTCTCAACTCCCACGCCTGTCACTGTGCGAACGGCGACCCTGCGCGAGCTGCATGAATTTGAGCGCAGGATGTGCCGAGGACGCTCGATAAAAGCGTTAAAACGAAGGGGCTACGGATCTCACCCGCTGTTGTCTCCACGTGTCGCCAGCACGCGCGTTGGCGATTCCCGACGGCCTCAAGTTGCTGGGACAGGGCACGCTGACATATTTCTGACAAAACGAGATCGACAACGTAGTTATCTGAAAACCAAACGGGAAGCAATATGCAAAGCAAAGCGACGATGTTAGCTACAGGTCCCGAGTGCCTAGACACTGTAAAAACGAAAAGGGGTGCAAGAGACATGGGCGAAATTAGGCTGCGAAGGACCCGACCGCATGCCAGAGGCCAAGCAGCTGACAGAATCTGTTCAAGGCAGCTGCAACCCCCGACCCGGAGCCCGCTACCCTCGAGGAAGCGCAACAGTGGATTGTGGCGCGTGGATTAGCAGTGTGGAAGACGATCCATGGAGAGGAGGCATGCTGCCAAATCATTCCCAGATGTCTAAAACATGTTGCAAGCTATGTTTGCAAAGTGCTACAGCATGTGTTCAGCGTGTTTCAGACACGTGTAAGGCATGCAGAAGACACTTCAAAGACGTGGCTAATTCAATTATAGAACTGTTAGAGTGTCCATTTTCATGACAGCCGCAAGATTAGCGGCGGGTCCCGCTCCCGTGCGACATGGCGTGCTCCGGCGCCGATGTTGCACGGATCTTGCCCCCGATCGCCTACCTCTTGGCATCGTTCGGACGTGTGCACTTCTCAGACGAGGCCCATCGAGGAGCATCTTCGATCATCTGGCGGAAGAGGAGCGCACGAAGCCGACAAGTGCACGGGGGATGGACGTCGGAGCGGCGGCGAGCTCTCCGCAAGCACCTTCTTCTGGCTGGAGCTAGAGCGGCGCCGCCGATGGACACGTGTTGCTGCTCCGCCGCCCTCAGCGGGTGCCTGTTCACCCAGACCGTGCCCCGCTTGAACACTATCCAGTGGCGCTGCCGCGCGGTTCCGCCACCGCGCTGCACCGAGGAAGATAGCGCCCCGCGCCGCCAAGCAGCTCCTGCTGGACCCATGTCCTCGGCGCCCGCGTCCTTGCGCCGCGGCGACTCCCTCTGTCCGCCTCCGATGCAGCGCCCCGAACGTTGCCTCGGCCGTCAGGGTGGCAGCGCGGTCCCCCCGCGAGGGGAACAGGAGGGCCCTCCCGCGAAGGGGAGGTGCTCGAACCGAAAGGGGGTACTGGGCGGGAGGCGGGCGCCGGGGGGGTAGGGGATAATCCATTGAACCTCCTTCCCCCAGCCTTACGGTGTTCCAACCTACTTTAGCCTCACCAGAAAGAATTTCGAGCACCAGAAAAAAGTACGCCAAAACTCAAGAGTTTTCACGTGTCGGACCCTGGGAGACACTCGTCCGACACTGTTTCGATACTCTTTCGACACTTTTCTGGGTGCTCGAAATTATTTATGGGATGTGGTCTGTAAGTATGACGGGAACAACATAACCCAAGCCTCATAGTTGGGTACATTTTCCGCCTGGAAGGCCAAAACACGCTGGGACGTGGTCCTAAAATGGAGCGCATATTGGGCTCCATGCGTCGGGGGGCCAATCTTGCTTCGCGAGGAGCGAGAGGGCCCGACGCACACACACACACACACATTCACACACACACACACTCTTACACGTACACAAACACATACATTTACACTTACACTTACACTTACACTTACACTTACACTTACACTTACACTTACACTTACACTTACACTTACACGTACACGTACACGTACACGTACACGTACACGTACACGTACACTTACACATACATTTACACTTACACTTACACTTACACTTACACTTACACTTACACTTACACACACATACATTTACACTTACACACACACACTTACACTTACACACACACACACACACTCACACACTCACCCACACACACACACACACACACACCTACCGCTGCCAGCGCGGTGGTGGATCATTTCCAATCTCAGCGGCGCGCCCAGGAGAAAAGCAGAGGGGGAAGGTCTTCTCGGCGGGGCTTCTCAGAAGTCCTCCGGCCTTCCGATTCGCCCCCTGTGGGTTCTCAGAAGGCGGGGCGCCTTCTGAGCCTTCTGAGAAGCCTCGCCCCCTATGCCTTCCCATCTGGGCCCGCCGCCGACCATCGGGACGTCAAGGGCCTGAAGGTTTTCCTCAGATCGCTGAAGAAAGGAGAATGCGCCGGCAGCGCCTCCAGTCGGCTCCTCAAAGCGCTGGCCGTCGTGACAGAGCGGGGGGACCCGAACACCCCCGTGTCAGTGTCGGATGACGTCCACGTGTTTGCGCTGCACGAGGCTGTCCAGTGCCAGCTGCATGGTGTTGTGGACCTGCTGATCGAAGCCAGGGCCGAGGTCGAGCTGAAGGACTCTGCGGGCCAGACCGCTCTGCAAGTCGCGGCCTGCTCCAGGTGCGCGGGCATCATCAGCACCCTGCGGAGAGGGAGGGACATCGCGGACAACGAGCACTTCGAGGGGGCCCTCTCCTGGCTGCGGGACCTGCGCCTCTTCCAGAGGCTGCCGCGGGCGGAGCTCCCGCGGCTCGCCGCGGCGTTCCGGCACCGGCGCTACGCGGCGGGCGAGTTCGTCTTCCTGGAGGGCGAGGCCGGGCACGAGATGTTCGTCATCGCGAAGGCCGGCCACGCGCAGAGGAGGGCAGGGGGAGATTGGAAGGCTTCTTAGAAGCACCCCTGCTTCTAAGAAGGCGCGGGCCTTGTCTACAAGATGCAAGGCCCTTCTCCTTTGTAAGAAGCAGCCTCCTTCCAAGAAGCCTTCCCCCCTCCCCCTGAGTCGTGTTCCTGCTGAGTGGGCTTCTGTTCTGCTAAGTTGGCCCCAGATGTGCTTGATCCAGTTGTCAGCTCCGCCTCCTGCTGCTGGTCCTGTTTTTCCTCCTCGTCGTCCTCCTCGTCCTCCTCCTCCTTCTCCTCCACTTCCTCCTCCTGTCCTCCTCCCCTTCCTTCCTTTTTTCACGTCCTACTACCACCTCGTCCTCCTCCTCCTCCTCCTTGCCTCCTCCTCCTCCTCCTCCTTGCCTCCTCCTCCTCCCCCTTCTCCCCCTCCTCCTCCTCCTCCTCCTCCTCCTCCACGACGACGACGACGACCGACCGACCACGACACACGATGCACGACGCACGACGCACGACGCACGATGCACGACGCACGACGCACGCCGACGCCGACGCCGACGCCGACGCCGACGCCGCCGCCGCCACCGCCACCGCCGACGACGACGACGACGACGACGACGACGACGACGACGACGACGACGACGACGACGACGACGACGACGGCAGCTGCGGCGGCGGCGGCGACGGCGGCGACGACGACGACGACGACGGCGACGCCCTCGCGCGCCCGCGCGCGCGACGCGCGCGGGGCTTGCCACCGCTTCCCCGTTCCCCAGGGCTTGCTTGCCACCGCCTCCCCCTTCCTCGGGAAAGCCTTGTCGGGCGTCTCGGGCCGCTCCTGAGAGTCGCCTCTTGGAAGCTCGTGTGCTCTCCGAGGGACCTCTTGGGGATTTCGCTCGCTTTGCGGGGTGCGCGCGCGGAACGTGCAAAGTACGGGCGTGGTGGGCGTCCTGGAAGCATCTTGGGGGCATCCTGGGAGCGTATGTGTGGGGGGCTATGCGCCTCTTGGGGGGCTTCTTGGGGGCCTCTCCAGGCCGCCTTGAGGTCCTCTTGGGGCCTTCCAGGACGCTCTAGGGGACCTCTTGGGCCCTCTGGAGCCGTCTCGGGGCCCTCTGGGGCATTCCTGGACAGTCGGCAGCCCGTCTGGGCATTCGTGGACAGTCGTGGGGCAATCTTGGGGCCATCTTGGAGGAATCTCGGAGGCCTCCAGGGCATTCGTGGACAGTCGCCAGCCCGGGAACTCGAGGACTCCAAACTCCGATGGTTTAAGCCTTTGGGGGCCCTCGTGGAGGTCCTATGGGAGCCCTCCTGGGCGATGTTGTTGGACTTCTTAGGCTTTCTCGAGGCCGTCCTGGGCCACCTTGCGGCTATCTTGGGTGATCTTTGCCGGCAGCGTCTTGGAGGCGATCCTGAACCGTCTCGGGCCCTCTCTAGGGGCCTTCTGAGGCCGCCCGCGTCGCCTCAAGCCGCCGGCGCCCCGCCAGTGGCCCAGGCTAGATTTCGAGGGGCTCCCCCAGACCCCCGCAGGAGAATGCGCAACGGGAGCCCCATCCGCAATGTCGGGGGGGAACTGCTTCGGCTTGCTCAGGACATTGGAGGTCCACGTCGTCGTCCCTCTCTCCCCTTCTCCTCCTCCTCCTCCTCCTCCTCCTCCTCCTCCTCCTCCTCCTCCTCCTCCTCCTCCTCCTCCTCCTCCCTTTCCTCCTCCTCTTCCTCCTCCTCCTCCTCCTCCTCCTCCTCCTCCTCCGCCTCCCCCTCCTCCTCCCCCCCTCCTCCTCCTCATCATCCTCCCTGTCCCCCCCCCGTTCTCCTCAAGACCCCCCCCCCCCCGGGGCATCGGACCTCACCTATACCGCGGGGGGGGCCGTCTGCGGCGGGTTCACTTCGTGTCCCTGGTGAGGCTTGCCTGAGGAGTTCCTTCCGGCGTTGCCGCCCTTCAGGTGTGATGCGATACGGTTGTGATGTGGTATGTTGTTGCGGGTTCCTGTTCCTGTGTTTTTTTGCTACCGCGTATTGCTCTACAGTGCAGGAGTGGTGCGTGATGCCATGCTTTGCTATTTCACGCTCTGACATTGAACGCCATGCGGTGATATCTGCTACGCTGAAGTAAGCCACGAACGTGTACTTACATGTACGCGCTTCCCATGTTACGCTATGCCACATTGCTCCATGCTTTGCAACGTCTTGCGCTGCTCTGCAATTCAAGACTGTTGAACTGTGCCATAACATTCATCTGCGGCCGGACTCGGAGAATAATATGCCAGAAGAAGGAATTGGAGCCAAGAGTCACCGGATCATGAGGCTCTGGCGCACATGATAGCTCTGCGAAGTCTGAGGGCACCAGTCACATCCTTGCACTGATACTGCTATCAGGAGACTCGCATTGGATGCCCGGAACAAACAAAACGACCGCGCCAGAAGTAGTTTCGAAAGTTCCGGGTTTCCAGGGGAGGGGGAACGTTGTTGGGCGGGTCGCGCCTGAACCAGCCTACAGGGGGTGATGTGCTGTGATGCGATGTGGTGTGCTTGTGCGTTTTGTTGTTCGATACTACGGCGCGTGTTTTGTTCCGCCATGTGCATCACTCTCTAGTGCTGCAGTGATATGCGACGCAATGCCATGCTATGCTACGTTTTGCCTTGTAACGCCATGCGGTGGTATTTGCTACACTGGGGCAAGCAGCGAAATGGTAACTAAACGCATGCAAGCCCCATGTTTCGGCAAGACTAAAGCTAATCGATGCTACGCTACATCTCTATAGGGCACGCCACATTGTGCGTTGATGTGCAGTCCAATGCTGCTGAGCTGCGCTATGCTATAGAAACTGATATAGAAAGTAATGCAATCCCATGCGCTGTTTTGACACATCGTGGTTTTCCTTGTGAGACTCGAACACCAAAGTACATGTTCCCTTGAACGGGTCTTTCTTAAGCCATCTACCATCCTAGGCCCTTCCTGTGGGTAATTTGGGTGATCTGACAGGGTACCCCAGATTTCGTAATAAAAGGGAGGGGGTCTGGACCCTCCAAGACAAGCCGTTTCAGACCTCCTCCGCGGGAGAACCCTCCAAAACATCGTCCCCAGACCCCCCAGGCCCTCCCAGATAGCCTGGAAGAGACCCCCCCCCGAAATGAGACCCCCCTCCCTTTATTACGAAATCTGGAGTACAGTGGCGAGCACGTCTCTTCTGGAGGGCTCTCCGAAGTGATCTGCCCCCCACAGGGGGGGGGGGTCTGCAGACGCTCCCCCTGAGGTGCGGGTCGGGCCCGACCCGCACTACAGCCCCCTCCTCCTCCCCCTCCTCCTCCTCCTCCCCCTCCTCCTCCCCCCCTCCTCCTCCTCCTCCTCCCCCTCCTCCTCCTCCTCCTCCCCCCCTCCCCCTCCTTCCTCCCCTCCTCCTCCTCCTCCTCCTCCTCCTCCTCCTCCTCCCCTCTCTCCTCCTCCTCCTCCCCCTCCCTCCTCCCTCCTTCCTCCTCCTCCTCCTCTCTCCTCCTCCTCCTCCCTCCTCCTCCTCCTCCTCCTCTCTCCTCCTCCTCCTCCTCCTCCTCCTCCTCCTCTCTCCTCCCCCTCCTCCTCCTCCTCCTCCTCCTCCTCCTCCTCCTCCTCCTCCTCCTCCTCCTCCTCTCCTCCTCCTCCTCCTCCTCCTCCTCCTCCTCCTCCTCCTCCTCCTCCTCCTCCTCCTCTCCCCTCCTCCTCCTCCTCCTCTCCTCCTCCTCCTCCTCCTCCTCCCTCCTCCTCCTCCTCCTCTCCTCCCCCTCCTTCCTCCTCCTCCTCCTCCTCCTCCTCCTCCTTCCTCCTCCTCCTCCTCCTCCTCCTCCTCCTCCTCCTCCTCCTCCTCCTCCTCCTCCTCCCCTCCTCCTCCTCCTCCTCCTCCTCCTCCTCGAGGAGGCCCGGAACCTTCAAAATCAATCTTGACGAAATCGTTTCGAAGGTCCCGGGCCTCCAGGGGTGCGTGCTGTAGCGCGCGTCAAGCCTGACCCGCACTACAGCCCCCTCCCCCGAAGTGCCGTGACCTTCAAAATCAATGTTGACGAAGTTGTTTCAAAGGGGGTTAGGGGGATCCTGTAGTGCGGGTTAGGCCTGACCCGCACTGCAGCATCCCCCCATGGAGGCCCGGAACCTTCAAAATCAATATTAACAAACATGTTTCGAAGGTTCCGGACTCCAGGGGGGGTGCGCTGTAGTGCGGGTCAGGCTTGACCCGCACTACAGCACCCCCCCTTGGAGGCCCGGAACCTTCGAGACAACTTCGCCAAGATGGATTTTGAAGGGTCCAGGCCTCCAGTGGGGGGGGCTGTAGTACGGGTCAGGCCTGACCCGCGCTACAGCAGCCCCCCCTGGAGGCCCTGAGCCTTCGAAACAACTTCGTGAATTTTGATTTTGAAGGCTCGGGGCCTCCAGGGGGGTGGCGGCTGTAGTGCGGGTCAGGCCTTGCCCGCACGACAAGGGGGGGGTCTGCAGACACCCCCGCCCCCTGTAGCGCGGATCGAGCCTGACCCACACTACAGCCCCCCCCCCCCGTGGAGGCCCAGAGCCTTCGAAACAATTTCGTTAAGATTGATTGTAGTGGCCTCCGGCCAGTGCCGCCGATCCGGGGCGCTCTTAATCCTCCTACTCCTCCTCTTCTTGCTTCCCCTCCTCCCGCATCCTCTTCCTTCTCCTCCTCCTTCTCGTGCGCTTTCCGCTCCTCCTTTCCCGCCTCGGTGTCCTCCTACTCCTCCCTCATCTCCTCTTCTTCCTCCTGCTCTACGTTTTGTTCCCCCAAATTCGTTTTTTTTGTATAAATTATTCACTGCGTGGAGCTCCCCATATGTGCATCTACTCGCATGGACCTGTCCGCCGTGAATGTCTAGGCGCAAGAGCTTTCGAATATTAACGGGCTTCAGTTGTGACGGTCTGGACATCAATCTAACTGCGAATGAATTGGAGTGTGAATGAGCCTCAGTAGTACGAGCGCGTCTCTGTGCATGAGCCTGGGGCTCCTGGGGCCTCCTGAAACCTACTGGGGC